GGCGCCATTTCTTAAAATAAAGAAACGGCATCTCGTTATCGTTAACGGAGTCCGCATGTTTGGTGTATTAAACACCCACTGACACTACAGTACATCTAAACCGACACTGTCTCACGTATTATTTTTATATTATCAAATGAAACTGTAGTTATATCAAAATGATACTGTAGTTGTGGTGAAATGAAACTGCAGTGTATATAAAATGAAACTGAATAACATTTCACATATTTGAGTGTATATTGTATAATGAAATTGTAATTATATCAAAATGATCATGTAGTTGTGTTTTAATAAAACTAGTGTATATAAAATAAAATTAAATAACATTTTCACATATTTGAGTCTATAAATATCGAATGAAACTGTAGTTATATCGAAATGAAACTGTAGTTGTGTTGAACTGAAACTGCAGTGTGTACAAAATGAAACTGAATAACAAAGTTACTTTTTGCGGAATGGTGCGGAAAACAAATGCTTTCTTTTCATTTAACAAAACAACGTCGTTTTGATGTGCGGTGCATAATCGATTATGCACCGCGGTGCACGATATAATTTGCCCCCTTCTCTTACCACCAAAAAAAAAGTTAAAATTAAATAGTACTATAATATATTTCACTCACGTAATCCGATCCACATTATATTGTGGTTTGAATGCTACTAGCTCTATTACATTGTACATAAAGAGCTAATAACGCTCTCACTGAGGCTTGAACTCACAACCTTCCTAATGAAAGTCAAACCCGGGTATCATTGAACCACATAATCCTGGTTATATTGTTAGAAGATACTTTTTTTTTTTTGATAAAGAGTCAAGTAGAACTTCTAATTATATACCAAAGTGGAATAAGATATGATCTTCTAACTAAAGAAATCTCTAATTAGACCCTTAAACTTGTTAAAATTGTATACTTAACATTTTTTTTTTTTTGAAACACTTGATTCTATTATGCAATTAACATATTTGACTTATAATAACATGTTATTACCAAGTCACTTGCCACGTAAGATTCCATGAAGATTTATATTTTTTAAAAATTATATTTATTTTAAAATTAAAATAATTATATTAATTAAAAAACAATGGCAACAATCTGCCATGGCAGTCGTCCAATCCATGGCTTCTTTGTCCATGGCAGCCAAGTCGGCGGATTCTCCTTCGTCAGTAAGTTTTTTTTTTTTTTTTTTTTTTTTTTTTCAAATTTTTTAATAAGATATCATATAAAATGTCATGTAAGTAAAATTGACCAGTTACCTTTTAATAATCAGTTAAATAAGTTAATTGTACAATTTTAATAAACTTAAGGGTTTAATTAGAGGGATTTTTTTTTTTAAATGAATGTCTAATTGCATTTTGATATCTAGTTAAATGGCCTATTTGAGGTTAATCCCTTTTATTTGTTTTAAAAGCTAGTTCCCGTAGAGACAATCACCAAAGAATAAAATAAAAATATGTGCAAATAAAATTCTTTAATAAGTTGAGGTTTGGAGCATCGACACCATTGTTATTTCACTTATTTGCTTGAGAATTATTAAAAAAAAGAAAAAAGAAAAAAAAAAGGATATCTTATTAGGAATTCAGAAATCTAATTTGACATAAATTTATGCAATTCTTTCTTTTAATTTATTACCTCCCTTGTATTAGAAAATAAAAAATTATTATCACCCTACTGCAATAATTTTTGACGTAATCTAAGGACGAATAATAATAAATCTCGAATACTAAGTTAAGATTTAAAAATCATGAATAAACTTCACTTGAGTATTGTACTATTGTATATGTATCAAATTTGATCGTTGACTATTAATATTTTCAAATTAGGTGCATAAGTATGTAATTTGTATAATATTTTATCATTGACAATTAATATTTTCAAATTAGGTGCATGACTTTGTAATCTGTATAACATTTGACTCTACCATCCAATTTTTTCAGGATCAAATGTGATACAAATTACATAGTCATGCACCTAATTTGGAAATATTAAGGGTGTGTTTGGCTTACCTACTTTTATTATCCTACTATTGGAATGAAATCCTTTAGGAGGTGTTTGGTTGGAAGGAAGGAATTGGGAAGGAAATGAATTGCAATTTGGTGGGAAAATAATAAGGTAGGAATAATGTAGGAATTCAAATTACATTATTTGGTAGAAGGAATATAATTATTGGGGATGAGAAGGAATAAGTGGTATAAAGACTAAAACGTCCTTAGGTAATAATAATAATAATAATAATAATAATAATAATAATAATAATAATAATAATAACAATAACAATAACAATAACAATAACAATAATAATAACAATAACAATAACAATAACAATAACAATAACAATAACAATAATAATAACAATAACAATAACAATAACAATAACAATAACAATAACAATAACAATAACAATAACAATTAACAATGATACTTTTGTCATTTCTTCCATTTTTTTTTTTCCCACAACCATTGAATTGCAATTCATGGGGGTACCCCATGAATTGCAATTCAACAAAAGGAGGGAATTGCAATTCCCTCCAACCAAACACTGTAATTGAGGCCGATGAAGTTACGAGGAAAGAATTGATTGATTGAAACTGTAAAACCAAGAGTCCTAAAACAAGAGAACTCTAAAGAGCTTCCTAAACTCTAGGCTATGTACAAGCAAGACTCAGCACAACCACATAATAATATTAAGACTCTAACACTCCCCCTCAAGCACAAGGTGGATGAGAAGCAACATTGAGCTTGTCCCGAAGCGCTGCAAAGCGTGGTCCCGGAAGGGGCTTCGTGAAGATATCCGCAAGCTGGTCTTTGGTGGAGACAAAGTTGACCCGTAACTCGCCAGAAGTCACTTTGTCCCGAACAAAGTGGAAGTCGATTTCTACGTGTTTTGTGCGGGCATGGAACACCGGATTAGCACATAAGTAGGTGGCCCCGAGATTGTCACACCATAGCGTGGGTGGTACGCCGGAGTGGAGACCCAGCTCACGTAGAAGAGAGGCAACCCACGTGACTTCTGCAGCAACATCGGCGAGACCCTTGTATTCTGCCTCTGTTGACGAGGCCGTCCGTTGCTTGTGCGAGACCCAAGAGACAAGGTTGGTCCCTAGAAACACTGCATACCCACTGGTGGACTTGCGATCTACAGGACAACCCGCCCAGTCTGAATCCGAGTAGGCGTGAATATCTGCTGAAGCCGAGGCAGTCAAGCGAAGACCATGAGTAGTCGTACCCTTAACATACCAGAGGACACGTTTCAGAAGGGCCCAATGGTCAGCAGTCGGTGTATGCATGAATTGACACAGGCGATTGACAGCGTAGGAGAGATCCGGACGTGTTATCGTCAGGTACTGGAGCGCTCCAACTAGGCGGCGATATTGAGTGGGGTTGTCAAAGTCCTCTGTGGATGGTGTAACAGGCTGTGTAAGGGCAGCTGGAGTAGCCAGGGGCTTGCAGTCAGTCATGCCTGCTCGCTTCAGGAGATCACTCATATAACGCCGTTGAGACAGCAGAAGCCCGCCTTCTATCGGAATGGTCTCAATGCCCAAAAAGAAGCTTGGTATGCCGAGATCTCGGATCTTGAACGTAGTACTCAAGCGGTGTAACACTGTGTCGATGAGAGCAGCGTCATCGCCCATAAGGATGATATCATCCACGTAGACAAGTAAGAAGACCCGTGACGTCCCAGTGGTGTAGTGGAACAGAGATACGTCAGTCTTTGATGAATTGAATCCTGTAGAAATTAGAAAATCATACAGACGCTTGAACCAGGCTCGTGGTGCCTGTTTCAAGCCATATAGAGACCGCCGCAGGTGGCACACATGATCCAGATGCAGAGGATCTTCATAGCCCAGTGGCTGCCGCATGTACACGGTTTCAGCCAGGCGCCCATTTAAAAAGGCGTTATGGACGTCGAGTTGGCGGAGGGTCCAATTGCGTGAAACGGCGAAGGACAGAAGCAAGCGTACTGTAGTCGGTTTGACCACAGGACTGTATGTATCAAAAAATTCCTCTCCGGCGACTTGATTGAAACCTTTGGCTACCAAGCGCGCCTTGTAGCGCTCTATGGTGCCGTCTGCCTTGCGTTTGGTGCGATACACCCACTTACACCCGATTACATTCATGTCTGGTCGAGCCGGGACAAGTTGCCAGGTCTCGTTGTGAATCAGGGCGTTGAACTCTTGGTCCATTGCCTCTCGCCATTGTGAGTGCCCCACGGCCTGCGAATAGCAAGTTGGATCCATAGACGCCGTGAGAGCTTGAAATTGTTCATCTGCACCCCTTGTCATACGCCGTAGCCTCATGACATGGCCATGCTCTTGCGGTTTCTGTGGTTGTTGTGGTTGCGGGGGGTTCTTCCTTGGGCGACCACGGCCGCGCTTGGGTGCAGCTGGTGGTGCTTCAATGGCTAAGGGAGGATGAACAACATCCAAGGGTGCAGCCGGCGGTGTGGGAGGTCCAGCCTGTGACACAATAGGGCCAGATGCCCATGGTGTATCGGCTTGGTGCACGACTTCTGGATCACCTGTACTTGTGGCAAAAGGAAATATATTTTCATCAAAACGGACATGCCTACAGATAAAGGTTTTTCCTGTGCTGAGGTCCATGCATCTGTAACCTCTAAAGGACGGGGGGTACCCTAGGAAAACACATGGGGTTGACCGAAACTCAATTTGTGTTTGTTGTATGGGCGTAGGTAGGGAAAGCAACGACACCCATAGACTCTTAGGAAAGTGTATGAAGGTGTGGTTTTGTATAGTCGGTAGTGAGGGCTTTCAAACTTGAGTGCGGAGCATGGTAGCCGATTGATTAGATAAGTGGCTGCTTCAAAGGCTGAGTCCCAGTGTTTAGTAGGAACAGACCCTTCGGCTAATAAAGCAAGACCCGTCTCGACAATGTGCCGATTGCGACGTTCTACGCGCCCATTTTGCTCGTGGGTATAGGCACACGATTGGCGATGTACTATACCCAACGACTCAAAGACATTGTGCAGGCGGCGGTATTCACCGCCTAAATCTGACTGTATTGCCTTGATAGAACGTGAGAACTGACGTTCTACCATGACACGAAAAGAATGAAAAACACTATAAATATCTGATTTTAGCCGAAGTGGGTAAAACCAGCAGAATCGTGAATAATCATCCACGAATAAAACGAAATACTTGAAGCCGTTCACCGAAATAACAGGTGACGGCCCCCAAATGTCCGTGTATACAAGGTCCAGTACATTATTTGAAATAAAAGAAACCCTATCTAATGGGAATCGGGAAGATTTGCCGAGTTGGCAAGCGGAACATAATTCAGACGAACTGGAACGACTTGTGGTGACTGGACATTGTGGTAGTATTTTCTGGAGCACTTTTGAGTGTGGATGACCCAACCGCCGATGCCAAATATTGGGAGATGCCCGGGAACTCAGGAAAGCAACGTGAGATCGCGGAATTGACAGTTTGTACAGGCCATCCGTACTAGGACCCTTAAGAAGTACCTCCTTGGTAATTGAATCCTTAACAACAAAATAAGTATTGTGAAATTCAAAGAACACTGCATTATCACTTGTAAAACGATGAACAGAAAGAAGGGGAACAGACAAATTTGGGACATGCAGAATATTTGACAGTTTTAAATTTTTAGAAACCGACGGAATAGATGCATGTCCAACAGAGGAAATTCCCAAACCTGTACCGTTTCCAACCCGAAGGACATCGCCTCCAGTGTACTCCTCGGCCTGGCCGATCATCCCGGAGTCCGGGAACCACGTCTCCGACGCAGAACCTGCCCCGTCGTCTCCGGTGGTCGCGACGTGGGCCTGCGGTGGTGCCGGCGGCTGGGTGTTGTATCTCTTGGAGCAATACACAGCGGTATGCCCATGACACCTGCATATCTGACAGCAAGGGGAACCACCACCACCGCTGCGATTCTGCCCACGGCCGCCGCGTCCTCTGTTCTGCCCGCGGCCGCGATTCTGCCCACGGCCACCGCCATTGCTGTTCTGCCGGTGGTTCTGCCCCTGCCCGGCGTACATGGCGACTGGAGAGGAGTTGCGATTCTGATCAACCAGGAGGAACTCGTCTGCATAAATGAACTCCTGCGCCTGGAGGAAGTCTGCGAGTTGAGGGATGGTCACCGGCGATCCCGTAACCGTGAGAGACGCCGCCACCGCTCTGAATTCCGGCCTAAACCCCCTGAACACATATAAATTTTGTTCGTCGAGAGACATAGGCCTACCTGCTTGCGAGAGTTGCTCGACCAGAAGCTGCGCACGGCCCTAATACTCGGTCGCCGAACTGTCTCCTTGTCGGAGAGATTGGAATTGACCGAGAAGGTTTAGACACCGGGCACGCGTTGATGATCCAAGCGCGGCAGTGATGGAGAGCCACACGTCCCTGGAAGTCTCACAGCTAACCGCCAAATGCATGCATTCATCCGAGAGGGAGGAGACGAGGAGACTGAGGATCGATTGATCCTGTTGTATCCATTGCGCGTAAGCCGGATTCGGGAGTGGTGATGGAGACGAGTTGCCGGAGCCATCGCCGAAGGAGGCCGCTGCGATGGTGGCGGGTGGACACGGGATGTCACCCTCAACGTAACCGATGAGCCCTTGCCCACGTAGGAACGGTATGATCTGCGTGCGCCAAAATAAAAAAATTCTGTTTGTGAGTTTTAGGGAGATGAAGTGGTGAGCGGATGTTAAATTGTTTGTGGTGATCGGGGAGGGAAGAGTGGCAGCAGTGTTCGTACGTTCTGATGAATGTGTCGACATGGCTTAGGATCGGTAAGAATTAGGCTGATACCAGATGAAGTTACGAGGAAAGAATTGATTGATTGAAACTGTAAAACCAAGAGTCCTAAAACAAGAGAACTCTAAAGAGCTTCCTAAACTCTAGGCTATGTACAAGCAAGACTCAGCACAACCACATAATAATATTAAGACTCTAACAAGGCCTTCATTGAATTACAGTTTCATTACAACTAAATTACATTCGACCAAACACCCCATTAGTAATTGCAAAACTCATTACGCTTTTACTTTTGAAGAATGAAATTTAAAAAAAAAAAAAAAAACACACACAAACAAAAGGTCATTGTTCATGCATTAAATATGAAATATACATACATACATATATATATATATATATATATATATATATATATATATATATATATATATATATATATATATATATATATATATATATATATATATATATATATATATAGGGTCAAGTTCCCATGCGGTCACTCATCGTACGCATAAATGCATCACAAAGTGTTTGGAAATGCACCATTAGGTGTGGTGAGGTTTGGTGCTCTTCTTTTTTTTTTTTTTTTTTTTTTGTGTGTTGCGTTTTGTGGTGCATTTATGTATATTGATGGTGAATCCGCACGGAAAGCACTATTCACATTTGAGCCAATATATATATATATATATATATATATATATATATATATATATATATATATATATATATATATGGATGCACTCATGTGCGAATAAGTGCCCAAGAAGGAATATGCGAACGAATCAGCATGCGACACGTGTTCAGATCTAATAGCTTAAAAAAATGCGGTGGCATTTTTGTAAATAATTGAACATCGAAGTGCAAGTAAAATCACTTACAAGTGCACCTACTTTCACCTATAAGTGCATGTAATTTTGTCTTGTTAACATTCACTTCCCACAAACATTCATGCACCTGGGTGCACCTACTTATAACTATAGGTGCAACTATTTATAATATAGGTGCAACTACTTATAACTATAGGTGCAACTACTTTCACCTATAAGTGCATGTAATTTTACCTTGTTAACATTCATTGATTTGAGTTCAGCGGGTAGTAATACCCCTGAAAACCACCCGCAAACATTCATGCACCTAGGTGCAACTACTTATAACTATATGTGCAACTACTTGAACTATAGGTGCAACTACTTATAACTATAGGTGCATTTAGTACTGATGCTCAGTGTAAATTTTTACTTGCACCAATAATACATTTTACATGCACTTGTAATACATTTTACTTGCACTTCGATGTTCAATTATTTACGAAAATGCCACGCGCTTTTTAAAAAAATCAGTGTTTCTCCTCCATTAGATCTGGATACGTGGACGGGCAGAATCCATTCCTATTTCGCGCCTGAGCGAAGCATTTGCACCTGAGTGCGATTCTATATATATATATATATATATATATATATATATATATATATATATATATATATATATATATATATATATATTTATTTATTTATTTATTTATTTTGATTCCAATTCCTAAACAAAGTAACTCCTCATACTTAAACTCATTACCATTATTAAATATTAAATATTTGATTCACATTATCATTTTAATTTTTGAACTAAACACACCCTAAATAGCCCATGACCAAATGTGATACAAATTACATGGTCATGCACCTAATTTAAAAATATTAATAGTTAATGACCAAATTTGATAAATGTACAATAGTGAAGGATCAAAAGTAAAAATTGTTAACCAACTTAATTAGTTAGCGTGAGTGGTCGTGCACTCTCATCCTATAAAGAAAGGTCGAGAGTTCAAACCTTCTCTTGTATGGAAAAATCAATCTGGCACTTTGCTTCTTAATTAAGTCGACATGATGCGAACAAGAATTAGTCTGAGTATGACGGGTTTTAAAATACCACATATAATTAGGGCTTGCTCAAGACGTCTCGTAGTCTGACAAGAAAAACGTAAAAAAGAAATTCAAAAATCATTTCGTATATTGTTTAGGCGTAACGAAAAAGTATAATGGTAATAATAATAATAAATAATGGTGAAAGTTTGGACACTACTCCACTTTCATTGCAGTTCTTTTGACGGAGGTCAAGAATTCCCAGATATTTTCCTTAATTTACTCCTTTTTGTTTCCTTTCATCATTACCATTAGTCAATGAAGTTTTAAAAAACTTCCCACTATATAATACTATAATGTGTACTACTCTGTTTGGCAGAACATATTTAAGAAGCTTATAGCTTATTTTAAGTTACTAATAAGCTATAAACTCTATTTGATAATGTTTCTAAAATAAGCTCCTAGCTTAAAATAAGAGCTTATGTTGGAACGCGTTTCAAAATAAGCTCTTAGCTTCCTAACTTTTTTTTCATCTTTATCCTTATTATTTTAAAAAAATGACATAATTTATCCTTTCCAATTAAAATCTTTTTTCTCTTCTCCTTTATCCGCAACTTTCACCGCAAATATTATTATTATTATTATTATTATTATTATTATTATTATTATTATTATTATTATTATTATTAGATTTGCAACAATATTGACACTTCATTATGAGATGCTAGATCATGATTATGCTAATAGTTTTATTTTAAAATGTTAATTTTTTTCTAAAGACAAAATGTTAAATTTTAATATGTACACGGCTGGAAATTATGGAATTTCCGACCACCTGAAAGTGATCTTAAATCAAGTTGAAAGCAAAAAGTGGTCGGAAATAGCAACAGAGGTTTTGCCGGATACCAAAAGTGGTCGGAACAAGACTTTCAACTTGATTTAATATCACTTTCAGGTGATCGGAAATTCCATAATTTTCATCAGTGGTAAACAAACTAATTTAAATTTTATGAAGATGTACTTTTTAGTCTTTTTACATTTATCAGCTTATCAAAAAGCTAATTTTACCAAACACTTCTAATAATAACAGCTAGCTTAACAGCTATTCAGTTTTCAGCTCCGAGCTTATAGCTTTTCAGCTTTCAGTTCCTTTTCACCTTATAGCTTTTTAGCTAGGTTTGTCAATCAGAGCCTAAATTTAATCTCTAATATAATTTTCTTTTTCTTTTCTCAATATAATAATAAGTGTTACGTTATTTTCTCTTCATAATATTCACCAATCATTATTTCATAGACCATGATCCATATAAATGTGGGGTCATAAATAAAAAGTGCGTTTTTAATCTATTAAAAATATATTATTTGTATACATAAAGTATATTATTTGAAAATACATGGTTAATGTGATTAGGTTTCGATTGGGATGTTATATCCTAATCTAGGCTCGAGAGGTTAACAAGCCATACTTCACCTTTGAGAAAGAGAAATATGGTATGTAAAGAACAAGATGAAATACCTCTTAGACACTCACGAGTCATGAGAATATCATTGTGTGTCTTAAGAGTATGGAATGACCTTGAGAAATATTTTCTCACGTTCAATGACATCTGTTATTAAATCAATTGACTTTCATTCTTATTGATCAAATGCCTCTTAGACACCTGAGGCAAATTGTCGATAAAATAAAGCAAATATAATATATATTATTTTTTAATTAAAAATAATAATGTATACTATATATGTCGATTATTAGATTAACCGACGTATATAGTATTTTTTTTTTAAATTGCCGATCTACTTGTATACGCGCTATCAGTTTGGGGTTGTATTGTTTACTTAGAGCATCTCCAACCCATCCAACCTCAAAACACCAAATTTTTTCAGCAAATGTCACATCAGAAGGAATATTCTCAGCATATTCTCACACCAAATTTTATTCATCTCCAACCCATTTACACCAAAACACCAAAACACCAAACTTTTACACTAAAATAATTTTATTTTTCAATTATTAGTTCGAATTTATTTAGTTTAATATAATTTAGTTCGAACTTAATTAGTTTAATATAACATATAATTTGTAATCTAAATAATAATTTTTATTAACATTAATTTTTTTATAAAATTAATTATTTAAAAAATTGAATGTAATAATATTTTTAAAAGTTTAATTTATTCCATAATAATAATATAATATAAAACATTTAATACATTTAATTATGATAAATTATTAATTTTATTTTAATTAATATATATTTAATATTAGTCTTGTTTCGATCGTCTCAACGATATATTTAAAATGGTATAATTTATATTTAATAATACAAATTTTAAATATAAGTATTTAACAAAACAACAAAATTCTATATAAACATATAAAGGTCAAATTTGAAATTATAAAAAGACGCAGGGACAAAATAGTACATTTGTTACCCATCCCTAATTTGCCGTTGATGAACAGTGCTGCGCCATATTCATTAACACAAAAACAAATTAAAAGGCGTTTTGGCGTTTTGCAGCTACACATTGGAGCAGTATATTTTGCAGGGATGGAGATTTGGTGTTGAAATATGTCGTTTTGCAGCTTTGTTGGAGATGCTCTTATCAGTTTCAGATTT